ACCAATTGAAGCAGTTTTTTTCACAGGTTACATATCACATGTACTGCTGTCTGGGCATAGGGACAGTTTTAGCCTGTTTGACAAAAAAGTGATTTTTAAAAACTTACAGACTTCAGCTTTAACCATTTATCCAAGAAACAGTAATTTACAGTGACTGTAAAACAAGGCTAACCTCTTGGGTAAAAAAGAAAAGGAGTGAGTCATGCATCACTTTGGAAAAGTATAAATATGTACTGGGCATCTTTACAAAAATAAACTTGAATTTGATTACGGTAAGTTATGCTTATATAAAATATATATAATACATATACTAATAAATTATATCTATAAAGTTATCTATGTGAAGAAACCTTGTCATCGCCTAATAAGATGGGTGATATGGATGTCTCAGAAGCCATTTTGTATTATTGGAAGGGGAGAAGCTTTATGTTGCTGCAGTCTAACCATTAGATGCCGCTAAAAAAAATTACACCCTGTAGCTTTGAATAAATCTGTGTAAAACATAAAAAAATCACCTTGCACAAGGGTTTTGATGTGACAGGAGTGTGACAGAAGCAAAGAGGGAAACATGGCCATCTAATCTGCCCTCAAGGATTTAAAAGTTAATGAGGAAGTTTTTTCCCTTCTGTCATGCTAAGAACGAAGAGGATGTCTTTGTATTGCATCTCTACCTTTCAGGGTGTAACCCATGTTTCGCCCATAGACACCAGCCCTCTGTGAGCTAACTGGTAAAGGATGAGACGAGATTTAAACTTATAAATACAGCACGTTTATATAGGTGTAACTGAGATTTTCCCTTTTTCTCTCTTATTTACTTCTTTCACTGTATGCTAGTTGCAAATAGTCATTTTATTTTGGTTTGACCTGCTCTGTTCATCGTGGTTCTTAAAATACTATATATATACACAAAACCATACCTCTGCTCTCAACTCTGACAAGCTCTGAAGTCAAAAAAGACAACTGTCTAATAAACCATGAGCATATTTGTATTTGACACTGCAGACAGCAAAAGGCACAGCCCAACAGATAAAATAGCTGGGATGAAACCAGCAGGCAGTGGAAAGTTGAAAAATTCAATATCAATTAATGCAGGATTCAAAGCTGGCTTTGACACAGCAGTTAGTGTTTCCTCCTTTAGCTTGCAAGAGAGAGGTACTCAGGCTTAGCCCCTGGAGAACCTAAGGATTAGCTGCACAGTCGATACATGAGTCTCCTTTCTGTTTTCGGTCTTGTCTGTCATGTGGTTGTCTATAGTGAGCTCTGTGGAGCTGACTTCCCCCAAATCAATATTCTGTTTTAGGCATGGAAAGAAAAGGCAAAAAACAAAACAACCGAGAAGTATTTGTTGAGGAATATTAAGTTATTCTGCAAAGTGAAAAAACTGCATGGTCACTCTTGCAATGCACAGACCTCTGCTCAGTGAGTCGCAGAGGAACTGTCCAAAGTCAATATTATCTTTTCATGGTATCTCAGAGGACTGAGCTGCTCTGCTTCATTAGCATAAAAAATCCTATTGTCTGCCTTTCAGGAGCAGGTTTCTGAGCTACAGTTTCTTGTATAACCTAACATCTTAACATTAATAACAGTACTGCAGTCATCCCCACTCTTCTCACCTGATCCAGTAAGATGAATGCATAGTGACCCAAAAGGGAGCTGCATTAGTCATTAGTCTATTGCTGGATGAAGAGAGAATTGAACCTTGCCATTTATGCCATATATGAGTCACCATTCAAATAAAAATACCATAATTTTCACAAAGGAAAACAAAAACATACAAACACAGAATTAACACACAGACTTGCTGTTAAAAAAACTCATTTGATATTTAAAGTGTTCAAACAATTGTCCTATTGTAGAGTTATCTTGTGACTTTTTAAGTATATTTAAAGGAGATAGAGATAAAATATAGCATATTACTAAATGGATAATGAGTTAAAGCGTGCTCCATATTAGAGGTGGGATAAAAAACACCTTCTTAACGATTGATCAACCAATGTATAACTATTGTGAGGAGTTTCACAAGGAAATACATTTTCTTCTCCCCTCCAGATGAGTCCAAGGCGGACGTCCCAGAGGATTTTGACATCGACATGGATGCCCCAGAGACCGAAAAGGCAGCGGTCACCATCCAGTCCCAGTTCAGGAAGTTCCAGAAGAAGAAGCGCGATGAGAAGTCCTAGTGAGCGCCATGGTGATCCATCGTCCTTTGGAAGTGATGGCACTTTGACGCCGGTGTGACATTTGCATGTAAACAAATTCATACCTGTCTAAACAGAAGGGGTTGTGAAAAGGTGGGGTGGGAAAGGGAATGCAATAGCCTGTTAATCTTATGACTGTCTGTGAATTCTCATTACCCTGTCATTATGATTGCTATTATTTATAATGTTGACTGCTGTATTACTAGATATGAGAACAAGGTTGAAGATTTAGGTTTCTGTCCTGCCATATATGTCCATATATCATACCTTCTCTATGTTTTTGTACTTATTCTCATAGTTTTACCAGTACTCGCCCTACCTGGACTGTCTCCGGAGCTGATGATAAAGCTTGCTTTTACGAAACCTTTCCAGGAACTTTTCATTTACCCTGAGGCATTTTTCTTACCTGCATGGTTCTGTCAAACTTGTGTGTCAGTGTACATTGAATAAATAAAAAATAACTATGTGGAAACTGTGTGTGTGTGTGTGTGGATAAAAACACTGCAATATGTCACCTCAAACTCTATGTCCTGCTTCAAATTGCTGAACACATTGCACTCTTGAGGTGAAACTAAAAACAAAAACATGTCTAAATGATGTTGATTATATCTTCTTCTGAGCTTGATGAGATTCTTCTTCTGGATCCAAGCTATGTGACCAACTGATGCTCACTGAGCACCTCTTAGCTTTTAGCATCCAAACACTTTGGATTAATCATTTCATTTTGTTCAAGACTGGACAGCCACATTTCACCACTGGGGGGGAAGGCCATTTGAAATTCTGCCTCTAATGAATTATACATAAAAGTGAATTTAGGTTAATTGAAAAAATATGGAAAAAGATTTGATTGTACTCTGATAAAATTAACCAATAAAAATTGGTTTCTTAAATACTAACTTAAAAAAACAACACTTTGAATTAAGAATGAACAGTTTATGCAAAGTATCACTAGCTCTGCAGACATTGATTCTATTTTTGTCAAATAGTAGCATATCAAAAACAGTGTGAAAAAAGTGATTTGCAACTTTATCCCATTCAAGCACCCAAGCATTTTATATGGTGACTGTAGGAGCTTCCATAAAGTATTCCAGAGTTTGCAGATAAACAAAAGCCAATTATAAGAAAGCATTTATTAATTGTTAACAAATTTGGATAATGATTTTTATTGTATACCTGTGCAAATGCTCATTCATATGGGTCATGACAACTGCAGTTGTGATTAATAGTTGATTTATGTATTGCCTGATATTGGCAGCATTCATATCAATACAGATCATTTACAAGAACATTTTAGAGTGAATTTTGTCCATTGTGGCGTATTTTGGCCTTTTTTCACCTTTGCCAGCAATTTTATTTATTTTCTTATAGGAACTAGTAGCATTTATTTATGATTTTTTTTTTAAATAGATAGACACGATATGGGATTGAAGAGTGGAGAAAAGTTTAGGATTCCATATTCGAGCTGGTGACAGCGATGTAAAGGAATGAGGCATCTGTGTTGCACCAGTGCTGCCTGCAACCATGTTTTTCTTTATCCTTTGAAATGAACCCAAATAACCGGAAAAAGAGATTGCCTTATATTGTATGTTAAATAATAAAAGTCAATTTCTTTTCAATGACTGGCTTTTGTGGAGAAAATCCAATTATTAAAATATGTCTGAACTGTTTGGAGATCATAAACAAGTCCTATCTCTTCTTGAGTTCTTCATTTTGACATGGCTGTCACCAGTTTGTGATAAATAGTCAGGTTTTACAGCTCAGGAACCAAATGCACACAAGAAATATAGAGGGTAATACAAAATCAAATATTCTTGTTTCCTTCCATCGGAAAAATCCTTGTAGATAAAGATTTTCTTTTGGTTCCTAATTTATTAAAATGCTAGAAATAGAGTCTTGCTTTCTAGCTGATCACCTGAGTTATTTATAAGACAGAGGAATTAAAAGTGTGATCTCCTTTCAAGGAGACAGCTGTATGACGGGCAACCTGTAGCACAGCCAAGGTTGATATGTATTATCAAAATACAGCAGATGGGATGATTAGCAAATAAGGAGCAGATGTGTCAGGGTGAGCAGAAGCCATCCAATCATAGGGTTTGTGAGCATGTTCAGAACCGTAGAGAGTTTGCAAGTCCATTTCATCACAGAAGAAGAACACATGGGGGAGACTGCAATGCAAACATATGGGTGCTTACACCTAAGATACGTTTAGAGTAAATAACGTAATAGGTTTGAACTCAGACCCTAGGAGGAACAAATTACCAACATTTGGGGAGCAGACACATGGAAAGTAATATTGAAAAGTAAAGTTTGAGCTAAGGACTTGTGCAACTTTCTGGGCAGGAAAAAGTTAGAAAAAACAAACAAAATGCTACTAAAATCCCGCTATGCCTACTGCGTTGAATTGTGCTTCAAAGGTGGTCTAACAGAAACTCAGGAAATCGAGGCGGGCAAATTGTCCTCACAGCCAATGGCAGCTGTGTTCTGCTACAGTCAAACAGAGGGCGTATCAGCCACTATAACAACAACAAACTATAGAACAAAAAAAGAAAACTACATACATTTCCCAAAATTCCTATAAACTCTTAAATATACAGAGAAACCAAACAGAATACAAGATCCCAAGGCTATGATATTAAGGCCTAATCCACATTCAGCAGGGTTTTCAAATATATATATATGAATCTCTGCTACCTTATTTTTAAAAGTAATAGCGTACATATAGAGGTTTTTTTAGAAAAATGTTCATCCAAACCAACCAGCAGAAACACAACTTTTAGTTGTTTATTTTTTTTAAATATGCAGATGCAGTGGCACAGTGGCTTGCTGCCTTGCATCAAGAAGGTTCCGGGTTTGATTCCCGGTCTTTCTGGATGGAGTTTGCATGTTCTCCCTGTGCATGCATGGTTTCTCTCCGGGTACTCCGGCTTCCTCCCACAGTCCAAACACATGACTTCTATGTTAATAGGTTTTTTTAAATTCCCCTTAGGTGTGAGTGTGTGTGTGAATGGTTGTTTGTTTTGTTTGTCTCTGTGTTGCCCTGTGATAGATTGGTGACGTGTCACTGGAGTACCCCGTATCTTGCCTATTTACGGCTGGAGATAGGCACCAGCACCCGTCACGACCCCAGCATGATGGAAAATAGGTGGATGGATTGATGCCAGATGCATAGGGGGCAGCGTTCCACAAAACTAGAACTTGTCAGCCAATCAGAATCCTTAAAAATCTACAAGTACCTGTTAGAAATTAATCACAGAAATATATTTAAAAAGTACAAACAAAAAATGTCTAATGTATTTTTAACTCTACTGTATGGCCCCGTGCAGAAACAATGGACCGACATGTTTGGCAGACTCATGAATCAGTTCAGCGCATGTAATGCGCACGTCAATGGTACTGCAGGCTTAATCCACACTTTCTTATCAGAAAAACAGCAAAATTTTTTATCCTTGAGTTATAATGTTGGAATGACTTATGTCCAAAATAATGTTTCACAGTTCACATTGGTGATATAATCCTGATAATGTGAGAATATCCATATTAATTCTCCCCCTAAAAATAACAATTCCCTGGAGATATCTAACTTCTCGACAAAATATGAATTATTTGCAAAAAAGGCAAGGCATTTTCTTTCAAAAATAAAACACAAAGTTGCCAATGTGAAAAGGTTATAGCCTGCCTTTTTTTTATTCTAAGGAGTCATTTTCTATAGATATATTCATCTTAAATGGGACTTTAAGTAATTATATGTAGGTCAGGTTAACCTTTTATACCACGGAAATTGATCTCACAGATCTTCCTTAGAAGCCTGGGAGGATTAAAGTGAGAGACAAGCAGTTTCCTTTCATCTGCAGCTAAATGGTTTGTAGTGTCTTATAAGTACTAAAGAAAAATTACAGCTTTTATCCTAGCAGAGTGTAAAACAGTAAAATCAAAGAAAAATGTTCACACATGATTTATTTAAATAATTCCCATGGATGTTTAAAAAGTTGATCATGTTTAGCATCCTAGGTTTCACTTTTTATGGGGGTTTTTTTGTCTCTGCTCTAAGATGCATTGGGAACACTATAAAATATAGTGTATCTTAAAACAAAGAAATGTGAAGCAGGAGTTATTTTAACAGGTGAGGTCAGGCACCATTCCACAATTCCTTTGTATTCTTTGTTTTGCAACATTTCTTTATTTCAGCACAAGGTTTTTACAAGATTAAAGTATAAAAAGTTAACCACAGCATGAGATTTTCCCTTAGAAGGATGGCTGCACCATTTACTTTTAGTGTTCTGCAGCTTGAATTCTGTCTTAAAGGGTCTTACACACCATCTCTGACCTCTAAACCCAAAAAACAATCTGGCTTTTGTCATTCGTCACAATGCAGCACAGCTTCTTTCAAAAGAAGACATTTCTACTCAGTGTGCAGTTACAAACTTTAGCCCATGTCAGTTTTTTTTAACAACAATTTTCCAATTTCTGCACTACTCAGAGGTGAATGCAAACTATTTATCACCTTAGAACTGAACATTGTCTGTGTTTTTGGCTAATTTTTGATCCAATTTTATGATAGTTTAGATCCTCTTCTGGATCCATTTCATTTTAGCAAACAGTTTAAACTAAAGAATATTGCAATTCATTATAAAGGTTTCCCTCTCCAATTAACTTTTAATCTACCCAGTAATATTTGTAGCAATTATTTGCCTGATCATGCCTTACCGCTGCTATTTATCTAGGCCCACCCAAGCCAAATAAGGCA